TCCTGCTGGGAAGAGAAATTGGGAAGGGCGCCAACCGTAAAATGCCAAACACGTATAACATCATACAAATTCACAATAGACACTACACAAATGAACCGTGCATTTGTCAAACTGATTAACTTCATAAAATTCATACTTAAAATCCCGTTAAAATATAAAAAGTTAAGCTGCAGTCATGTGCGTTGGCACGAAAATTTGAATAAATTGGAAAAGTGGAATTAGTCACTTTGGTCTCTGAACGGTTTAAACGAAAATAAGCTAAAACTTTACTGCCTTCGCGAAATGTTATATCATATAAATCATAACATAAGAATATTATCCATTTTATTACAGTTTTCATTTTAATTTATTTTGCAAATTAAGAAGCACCACAAACGCATAAACATTCACAGTAATCAGGTTCACCTCGTTACTATGTGAAACAAACGTGTAAATAATCCACAACTGTTCCCATTGCTATCCATAATAATCACAACTACACTTTATGAAAGGTTATATGAAATGTTAATTTCTTTACTGAATTACCAAAAAATTTCAATAATTCTTTCTGAATACTGTCACAAAGAGAATAAAACTATATTTTTTAATTTCATAGTATCCTTTTATTATTCGTAGTCTTGTAACGTCTAAATATTTTGTGTGAATTCGCACACATCTACCTCAATTTCTCGGACAACATAAATGCACTGAAGACAGGTACCCGTCCGCTTAATTAAATTCTTTAGTCTTTAATACAATCTTAATAAAATATGAATGTAACCTACGAATACTTCGAGTTAAATGCTTGCAGAGAACGGTGGCAAACGCTTCAAATTCACGTTTTACGCGTGCGTTGAAGCGCCCACGGTATCATTAGCAAATACTGCGGTTTTTAAATGAACGTGACTTCACAAGGTTTCCGCTAAATATGCCTCGCAACACCGAAATATGCGAAATATTCGACAAATGTTTCACAGAATGTCGTCTTATCGAAGTCATTTGGACTAAGTTAAGAAACTTTCGCGTGATTTCAGCGTGTATTAAGTGATCGAAACGATAACTTTGCCTTCACGCGGACTCAATCGTGAAAAGTGTTTGATAGTTCGCATTAAAATGAGCGAGAATTTTTATTTCCATTTAAAGAGAAACACATTTTCTATAGGGCCATCCAATATGTTCTTAGGGTGCGACTTCTCCACTTTTCTGCAACTTTCCGTTTTCCTTTGTACCTTTTCACCAGCTGTCTCGTTCAACTTCATACTCCATTTTATACTGTTGTTTTCGACTTTCAATTCTCATCCTCCTTTGTGCATTCCTCTATCCTTCATCGTACGTTCTTTTATCAAAAAAAAAAAAAGTTTCTTTCTCCAGCCAGGTTTATCTTACCAGCGTTTCTTCTGTCTTCGGGATTTTTCACCTGTTTCTTTTTCGCTTCTCCAATTCCACGGCGGCGTCATTTTAAGAGCTCTCTTTCGTCACCTACCTTTACCTAATTACTTTCTCCTCTTTTCGGTAAGTCTATCTCACGGATCTCGTTCCTTTTTCTCTCCTTCTCTTTCGTTCATGTATTTACATCTCTTTCATCCCCTTAAACAGCTGCCTTTGTATCCGTTCTCGCCCATCTCCCCATGCATCCACGACAATGTATACCCTTTCCTATTAATTTGCATTCTTTTCCCTCCTTTTCTCACTACCTAACCTCACCCCCTCTACCTACACATCCTTTCACGTCTCCTTTTACCCTGTATTTACATTTCAGCTCGGTTTCTCCTTCTGTCTCTGCTCTTTCAGCCCCTCTGGTGCTTTGCTTATCGTGATGAGATGCCGAATCAAAGCATCAATGAGACGAGGCACAGACATCGGTTCGATTTCAAATCGGCGCTCGAACATTCGCCCGTGCCATCGCTAACTGCATTCGGCTGCATAAATGTAAATATCGGCGGGAGCGCATACCGTGGAGAGAATGATACGAAGAGGTGGGGGTGTGCGGGATGCGAACCACCCGAGAGAAAAATAGTTTTTCGCGGTTCGCGAACTTTTAACGCGGCTGTTTTATGAACAGATGGAAATAAACCCGTAGATATCGATCTTCATTATTTTAGTGGCTCTATTTGTTACGCCGTTTGACGCTGCATTACCTAATTTTTTTCTTTCAACAATTATATAACGATCTGAATTTCATTAATTTATTCATTAAAATCTTGAAAGCAGTAATGGTGCAAATCAATTTTTCATGAATTTTAGTTTACGTCATTGGAAGATAGCCCTTGTAATTTCAGTTTATCTTGTGCGTTAACGGTGAATGTGGAGTTTCAGTAATCACTCAATAGGAGGTGTTGAGTATATCACCTCAATATGAATTGATATGAATTTACATACTGGTAAAGATTTAGCTTGATGATTTCAAGTTACTGGTACATTATTTGCTGTGTAAAAATAATGTTTAAAACAAAAGTTGTATGGTATCAAACGGGTAATATGTTAGAACAATTTTTTTTGTATTTTGTATACACGTACAGCTTTAAAGGATACTTTGATTTTTTAACACGTTGTCTGGCGAATTTGATTTTACTTGTCTTTCACCGTGTGCCAGCATATCAAGACATAGCATGGTAACAAAAATTCATCTTTATTACTCTATTTGTTAATGCAATTAAATAATAGAACCTGAAATCACCTGCATTAGTAACAAAAACATTCCTAATTTGATATTTAATTATAAAAACAGCTTTGGTTTATACTGTAATTTTGGAATCAACAAAATACTAGAAAACAGTGTGTGCACGCTGACGTGTCATGCGACACAGTGAGCCCGACAGGAAGTGACCCAACGGCGGTCACATGGCAGCCTACGTGTTAAATGGAACACCCTATATTTCTTTCCTGAAATTAAATGATGGTTAAAAAATGAGTAAATACGTCTTAAGGTATAATATGTGTGAAGTGAATATTTTTTGAGATATTTACAATAAAATTTTTATTATAAAAAGTGTTCAAACTCTTGATTGTTATTGCCGATACAGGCATCTAATAGTTCGATAAATGACACCTATACATTTTCTAATGTATTTCTATAGATAAAACACATTTCGTTATAAAATAAAAATTTAATTGTCAATATCTCAATAGATTCCCACTTTAAACCTATTCTTTGTAGAGCTGTGACTAAAGTACCGATATACTGTACTACTATATATGTATGTACCTACAAATGTGTGACGACATTAAATGTGGACCTAATGCAAATTCATCCTGCAATAGTCATTTTCATATCTCCTTTATTCAATCAATAAAAGGTATCCTTCTCTTATTAAGGTATCCATATTTTGGCGAAGTTTCAAATGAATATCTATAATTTCAAAAGTTATCGAATCAATATCGATACATTTGTGAAGTGTCAAACGAGTATCAGTAGTTTTGATAGAAGTATCAAACGGGTATCGATACTTTCGTAGAAGTGTCCTGTTTGATACCATTCGATATGATCTCATAATTTCCAGGCTGGTGTCGATAGTACGTATTCGATATTATTCCGATCATTAGTTAAAAGGTGACCGCTGTCACTGCCGCAAATTTGGCACGGCTCAATCAAGTGACATCCATAGTGAAACGTTTAGGACATAAAATATTGAATACTACACTATTCCCGTCCGACTAATAAAGTCTAATATTATACATCGAATTATAAAAGCCAGTAAGAAATCCATGCACATGAAAAATAAATTCTATCTTCCGATGAAGTGGAACAGACCGTAAATAGAATTTGATTTCGTGATCAAATACACTGTTCAATAAATTTGAACTTTTTTTCGTTTTTGTAACCTCTAATAAGCGTTTCTGATGGATCTTCATGAGCTGAATACGAATCTGCAAACCGTTTCTTTCCAGCACGTACAGTGTTTGAAAAAATCAATTTTTTTAAAAATTGCAAATTTTCAACTTTGAAACTGTGTTGCGCTTTTACAGTGATAGTTATGCAATTTCTTTTGACACGAAATAATTCTCTGGAATTATTCCAACTAGACTCTTCCGAACAAAATGATATTTTAATAACATAGCGACCGACATCACTGAGTACCACTGTCGCTGTTGAATTTATTTAGAACAATTTTTTTTTAATAAAAAATTATCAT